TTCATTCGGCTTCACACGGGCCAGAGCATCCAGAGCTGACGCGGGCCGCTGGAAAAGCGGCTGTACGCTTGAGCCCCTTCGGCCCCGCCTTTGACCACAATGGTTTGGATCCCCATAATATAGGGGCCTTAATAATTGCCTTTACTATTTTGGGGGTTCCTTATTATAATTGTTAGCTGGGCGGGTGGGAAAATGATTTTAGTATAATTGGCCCCAAAACTCTATTCTACTTATTAAGGCCCCCGCTGAAGCCTGGTTTCAAATCTTAACTTTCTTCGTGAAGGAGAGTAAAAGAGGGCGTTTGTGACAGCCATTCTGCTCCCCCCCTCCCCACTGCCGCTGCCTTTGATCCAGGCTTATCAGCTCGGTATGGCGGTCATGAGTTGTCAAGCCTGATTCGCCCACTTTCTCCCTAAAGCTGTGCTGCAAAGATTTCTTTCAAAGATTTCTTTCCGTGATGCAGCTGGTATCACAGCTAGACCTGACGAGAAGCTAGAAGGTCATGGCAGCACGCACTTACACGCATTCTTTCATGTTGAGTCGTTGAGTGTTTTTCTTGAGGGGTTAGAAGTTACGGCTCCAGAATGTGAGCTCTAACAGGTGCATTCTCATCTTTGCTATGGGTGGCGGTTGTTCAACACCCGGCCTGAAAGCCGCTGTGCCTCCAAGCTTGAATGTGAGCCATGGGAGAGAAAGCCTATGGTCGGAGCGGCTTCCTTTCCTTAGGCAGCCATTTCTAAGGATTAGCCCTTTGCCGTGATCCAGTTGTTAGGATTGCAAGTATCAGTCTGCAGCACTTGAGTTCCGGATCTCCTGTGTCTTCACCCGTGTTCAGGCATGCTTTTGTGGTCCTGCTGCCGGCGGCGACACGCAATGACTCTTGCCACCCAAGACACAGGCATCTACTGGCAAGGTTCAATTAAACCCGGTGGCTTTCGAGCTTCTGGAAGACGTATGTGATCTTGTACCATGAGGATAAGCGTGCATGTTTACTGTATGGGGGAAGCTCAAGCAATCTCGGCTGTGGTTTCGGGGCGGCTTTGCTGAGACGGTACCTGGAAACTTGCTCGGGGGCACAAAGACACTCAATGCCAGGGGCGAAGCCGACCGCCGGCACAGGTGGCAGCGGCCGCGCTGCAGGCCAGTTCGGCAGCGACGAGCCTTCTTCTTTACAGGGGCCATGCCTGGCTCTACGTTCTGAGGGCTGATGCTCCTAAATCGTCGTATGGACACTCTATAGCACACCTCGGCGCTTCGGTCCCCACCTCCTTTTCTATGGTTGTTCAGGCTCGCACTGGAAGTCGGCGGCCTGCGACGCTAAGCTGGGCCGCCTAAGTGCCTTGCAGGCACCCATGAAGACTTCGAGGGAGTGGTCGAAAGCCCACATTTCAGCAGATAGTCGAGCAAGTTGGCAACGGCCTTTATTGTAGTGGGCATTTGCATTGGATATGCTGGTTCGAGGCCGCCTCTATGAGACCCGGGCACATCGTGCTCTAGAGCTTTGCTTGGCGAGATCCTGCATCCTGCCCGTGCATGTTGGCTCCCAGGCAGTCCTTGGATCACCTACCTGTTCTACTCTCCCACGCGTTCTTCCATCGTTGGTGTGGCGCAACGCGACGATGTGGAACGTGACCTCCAGTGACTCAGCAGTGCTTCATTCAATGTGGTGGTGTCCTTTTCGCTTCCTGCAAGGGGAGCGCAGTGACCATGATCTTCAGAGCTCACGTGCTGCTTTCGGCCTTGCTCCTCTTTGTTTCTCAGCTCTTCGCACCTGAGGTGGCACAATGGCGCAGCCCCCGAGCGTGAGGCTCCAACCGAGACGCAGCTGCTCAGGCCGTATATATATATATATATGTATATATAGACTATATGTATATATATATATATGTATATATATATATATATATATATATATATTATAATTTCAGTTTTTGGAACGGCCAGCTGCAGTGCTGCAGGGAAGTAAGCCTCAGCCGACGACACCAATGTAATACTATTTCGGCCGGTTTGGCGAGTTTGTGGCGGTTGGCCTGAACGTATTTCGTCCAGACTACAATGACTACATGCTTTATGCATGTTAACCACATGGGGTGCAACGTAAAGTGCGGGTGCTGTTGCACTGCGACAGTATGCTTCAGCATGCGAGTACCGCCTGGTAAGACGAGAAGGACAAACTACTCTACCGCCCTACTACACACAAGGAACAATCGAACAGTACCAGACAATACGAAACAGAACTTCACGGACGTGAACGCTCAAATTGGGAAGCTGTCTGAATGCAGGCAGACACAATGTGAACAAACCAATACGATGAATGTTGATCCGCATGGCGTAGCAGCAAGCTCAACCAAATCTATCCTGCACAAACCAATACGATGAATGTTGAACAGCATGGCATAGCAGACAAGCCCAACCAAATCTATCCTGCTATGCTCTTGTATCGAGAACCATACTGCGCAAGGCAGTGCGAAGACAAAGACATGTCTGACTCTGGCAGCCTCAACCAGAGGGTCTGAGCTTAACACCTGCAGGCCATGGCGGATAGCCGAGTCCCTGGGATAGCAAGCAGCTGAAGGAGGATTTTTCTCGGCAGTTCTGCTGCTGTTCCTGTCCAAACCTTCTCATGTGACCTACTTGAGGCAGTTATGGCTCTGTGTGGTGGGCCCTGAGCCTAAAACGAAAAGCACTTTGCTCGGCCGCAGGTTTCGGGGCTTCGAGAGCCAGCGCTCAGCCTCCGCCTTTGCGTGGCGCGTGAGCTTCTTGACCGAATGGAGTGAGAGCGATCTTTAGAGTGTGTAGCTACTTGTAATGGTGTTATATTGTCTGAAGCCTCAAGACAGCCCATGAATCGGAGAACTTGAGGTTTAGCGCTTCGAGCTTTGATGGGCTTTTCTCCTGCGGTGCCGAGGCCATGCGAGTGGTTTCCGTGCACGGCGCGCTGCAATGCTGGCTGATTTGGGCGATGAGGAAAGCGAGTTTGATACTGGGTAGCTGGACTGGGTAGCTGGGTAGTTGTAGTGCCTGGAGACCCGTAGTAGAGTCAGCTATATCCTGCCATGGCCACAAGTTCAGGCAACGGGCAATCCAGAACCACCCGCAAGCTCCCAAAATCATGCGGACAACTTGCTCGCTGCATATTCGAGGCTGAGGGTGTCAGATCTGAGAGACTCGAGCTGCCTTCCGCCCGATCTTTCTAGATCTCAACCGTGGCAACCTCGCAAGTCTGTCCCAGACCTACATTGTTAGCCACAAAGCATATATGCTGCGACGGGCGGATGTCTCAGCAGTTCGCGCGGGGCGAACATTTATGGTGATCAACTTCCAGAGTATCAACTTCAAGATAGTTGTACCCTAAACAGCCAACACCTGTCGAACCCAAAGTAAGCAGCTGTGTCTTCAGGCCGGGAATGTGACAGAGCTGCCGCTCTCGAAGGCCCAGCTTAGAGATCGCCCTTTTGCTTTCTGACCCTGAACCTGTAGCAAGCTTAGAGGATCCGTAGCCATGCCTGCCGAGTGCGAAAGTGTGAGTCGAAACTCTGTAAACCCCAAACCCCAGGCTACGGTAGTAATGGTAGCAAGCTGAGTGTGCCTGCAAGAGCGAGTGCGCGAGTCGGAACCCTAGGCTACGCAATTTACCGGTAGGCTCTGGACTCCTTGACCTACGCTGAAGTTGAGCCGCCTGGTGGAGAGCAGTGGAGGGGAACGGCCTCTGATTATTCCGAATTAGGATACCCCAGAAGGGCTACTGAGAGGACTTTCTCTGGGAAACTGTAATTTTTGGCCCCCCGCATGGCTGGTCTCGAGGACGCTTGGCAGGTGACGATTGGCTACAGGATACTTGAGTGAGGGTTGCTACAGCTAACAGTAAAGCCAGAGAGACGCTGAGTGCTGTCAAGCAGACTACGTCCATGTTCGAAGGTAGTGTTGCAACTCCGATATCTCCGTTCTGGATACTGGTCCCGGGGCTATCTCGATCACCTGGGTGTTTTACGCATCTGCAAGGCGTCTACTTCGGGGAACGCATTATAAACGTTATATCATCTTATCAAGCTTTGTATCTTCACCTTCATATTCTTCGGCGTCCGCAGACCCCGCTCGCATTTGTCAGTGTCAGTGAGCTTGTGCGCGCTCATCTTCGCACGAGTGTGTGCTTGTGTATTGCAGCTTATGTATTAGACATATGTATACATATGCACTGGTGCGGTCTGTGCCTGTCGGTTTTTGAAGCCCAAAGAGTCTGCTCACATCTGCGGTCACGCGGGACTCGCGTAGGCCTATAGCCACCTACTCACCACCCATTTTTCAGGGTTGCTTTTCATGCTTCCGTGGCAGGTTTAGGCATCCTCTCAGTCTTATACTAGTAGCATGCCACTTTCAAATCCCAGCGTCTACTTGGCAAGTGCACTGCTTTCTTATCTTGGAATGCTTCCAAATGTAGTATATACCTCAGCGTCCGCAACAAATCCGGCACTTTGGCCTACCTGCTGCGTGCTTCTTGAAACCAGCGTCTACATCGGGTTTAGGTAGGTCTGATGTGTAAATTTCGCGCTGATGTGTATTCTCCCTAAACCAGCGTCTGTCGGCATTGATGTGTATTCTCACCAGCTGATGTGAGATAACCCCAGCGCCAAGTAGTTCTGGTGAGTCGTACTTGCGCCAACACCCTACCATGCGGGAAAGCCACAAGAAAGGAGCCACAGACCCAGATTCCCTGAGGTTCTGCCACCCAGCAGATTCTTCCCGCTGCGCCACCGTGTTGGCAATGGTGGACACAGGCTCCAATGACTGCGATCTCAACCAGGCCGTAATCGAGCCTTTGTTGCAATATTCAGCTCTGCCCAGGTATAGGACGGTATGCAGCCTCAACGCCGTCCACGGACGGCCAAAAGCGTGACTGTTTGGTGCATACACACAGCATTATCGGTTCGCAACGCATCAAACGAAACTGACAGAAGTGCCTGTGCTGAGGACCAGCTCCGACTGCCGTTTGCGCGGGGTCATGGAAGAACCGTCGTGGAGACTTCCGCCAACAAGTTGGC